TATCCAAGATGGCTGACATCTCATTACTTCAAGTGAAAATATTTCAAGAACTAAGCAAGATATGAAGAATCGGTAAAAGAAGTTATTAAATAGTTTCAAAAGTTCTATCAAATGAGAAAATAAAAAAATATATTGCCATTTCCCTTTAAATTTGCGTGTTTGGATGGCCTGATCCAAACACGGGTTTGGACCAATCAGAGCACGCGTTATATTATGTTATTTTATAATCGTTCTTCTTGTCTAGATCAAAATTTCGTCTATAGCTGGAATCATGCATTAGATAATCCCAGAACCGGCATTGCCAGGACAAATCGCGTTCATTAATTTCCATAGTTCATCCGTGAAGCGGATGATCAATTCAGGCCATTCTGTAATTAATAATTTTTTGGTTGGAAGAGATAACGTTGTTTATATGAAGATATTAAATATTAAATTTCTAGGGGTTTTTTCATGTCCGCATCTTCCATATCCGCATTTCCGTGTCCGTTTGTCCGTGTTTCCAGGTAACTGCATTCCCGGACCGCACCCAAAATGGGGCAACATTGCCATTGAGGAACATGCAAATTCTCAGACATTTTCGTATAATCGGTGCATATGATCAACCTACCGGAAAGGGTTTATCAACAAATTTGTCCTAATCTGGCAAATACCACCACATTGGCCGGAAACCGTTGCGTAGCACATCATATGATATACGGATTGGAACGAAATCCGCGGGGTTCCGAAAAAAAAAACAAAGAACGAAAGTGGTTTCACAAAGTACTCACGTAAAAATCTCACATCTTCTCAACAAGATGCGTTCGCAACGGGCTTGTAGCAAGCTTGTCAACAAGTTGTCACAATATTGTCAACACATCCTGATAACAAGTTGTTGAAACAGCATTTGTCTACAATCTGCAATCATGAATGCAAGCCGATATCAGGATGTTGTCAAGCCGATATCAGGATGTGCATGTTCGCATTTCTCGTTCCCAGTTGTTGTGACAAGTCTGAAACAAGTTATTATCATTTACATGGCTGATGACGATAACAGACTTGTTACAAGTTGTTTCAACAAGACTAATACGGGTGGTTCGTAACAAGTTGTCACGAGCTTGATGTCATCAACTTGTTAACGCCTTGTAACGTGGAGACGATATCAATCTTGTTGGAACAACTTGTCGCGAGTCTGTTGGTCTCATCAACAGGGACGTCGCTATAGGGGGTGGGTGTAACACCCCCCCAATAATTCAAACGCTGGTCAAAATGGAACTGATATTTGCCCAAAGTTGGTCAAAATGGAACTGATATTTGCTTAAAATTGAAGGTAAAACTTGGAAAAATTAGGTCAAAGTTTGGGATAAAAGATGGTCGAAGTTGCTCAAAGTTATGAAATGGTTCGCAATTTTAACAATTTGAAAGCTTTTGTTATGTTTGCGGTGAAAAAATTTGAAGCCTTGCTTATCTTGGACTGGGGGATTACTAGGGGCCCCCAGAGCCCGCGGCAATTGCCCCCCTCTCGGCGGGCCTGACCTGTGTGCTTGTTAAGATTAATATTAACATTTCTATAGCGCAAATTTACATGTGGCTATGACCAAATGTGCTTTGCATCAAGTATATTGCACTTACTTAATTATATACTTACTCTAGACTTTTATATGTTCACAACAATTGTGATATTACTTTCTTAACTGTGTTCATCCTAACCTACCCTCTCAGCTTCCCTGTGGGAGGAAACCGGAGCACCCGGAGAAAGCCCGCGACTTTTGGCAGAACGTTGACTCACTGTTTTCACATCCGAAGTGAATCCGTTGCGAGAATCGAAAACTACTGATCTAGTTGTAAGAATCAAACTCACGATTTCAAAGGTGAAAGGCACTTGCTTTGCAAGTAAAACGCACAAATCTGTTCACAAGTTAGTTGTCAATAAGTTGTGTTCGCAGCTTGTTCCCAGTTGTTGTAACAAGTTTGGAACAACATGTCACAACTTGTAATAAGCTTGATGGCATCATGGATAATAAAATACAATCCATGTAATTTTACAATCCATGATGGCATTATCAGACTTGTTACAAGGTTCTAACAGGTCTGATACAGTCATGATATGAAACAAGAATGTCACAAGACACAAGGTTGACGACACAAGGTTAAACAATACTATATGACTGTATCGAACTTGTTGGAACAACCTTGCAACAAGTCTGATAATATCAACAAGGTTGTTACAAGTTGTTAACAGCTTGTTCCAAACTTGTTGACAACTTGGGACAAGCAGTGCGAACACAACTTGTTGATGAATTGTTGGCAGACTTGCTACAAGATGCGAGATTTTTGCGTGTGTAGAACAGCACTTGGTGCATGGTGAACTTATAAGGAAAGACACTTAGACATCGGAGTGATTAAATTTTTCAAATGAGCACAGTATATGTATATATTGATCGACCTAGAAAATCACACACATCAAGTATTACACTTATATCTAATTATATATATACTTAGTCTAGACTATTTTATATTTACAGCATTTGTGATATTACTTTCTTAATAACTGTATTTAAACTGGAGCGCCCGGAGTTTTACCCACCACTTTTGGCAGAGCGTTGACTCGCTTTTTTCACATGAGTCCAAAGCGAGAATCGACCTGAAGATAAATTCATGTTAGATACATGCATGTAATGGAACATTTTAGCATTATCCGCCCAGTGCTCCCACATTGCGGAGTCGAAGATAATGACCATGAACATAATAACCATGCATGCCTTGAAACACAATATAAAACACATAGCTAACTAAAAGCCATGGCCAACTATTTATTAATAAAGTGTTTAGTCTAGTCTAGTTTAGTTTAGTTTAGTTTAATGAATTTGCCATATATTACATAATCATCATTATAACTATAGTCTATAAGTATATGACAGGAGTTTGAACAGGACTTGCGTCCCAATTGCAACAGAACCCTTTACATAAAACTCCAAAAATATATTGGCGAAACAACAATAAATTATAAAGTCAAATAAATAAATAAATAAATACACTTATTTATGTATTTATATATTTAGTATTATGTAGATAATACTATACTAAGGAGGATTAGATGAATAAAATTAAAAGTTATAAATGGCTTCGGAATGTTCGAATGGATTTGCACTGTTTCACCTGAGATGGCAAAGTGTTCCAGAGTTCGGCTGTTTTTTTTGTCTTCTTTTATGATTGTAATGAGAAAAAGTTAGAACTTTAATAATTATCTGCATGCCGGCGGCAAAACAGGAAATCTTATTATCAGGTGAATTTCGGATCACACCGGAGATGTGTTTTAGGCGAGAGGGCCATGACCTTTATAGATTATAGGATAATAATGTGGTCAATATCGGCCAAAAAATTTAGAATATTATTTTACGTGTTAAAATCAGATTACCAAAAACCTTTTTCAAATCTTTGTATAAAAAGATAGCTTAACCTTGGCCTGGCTTAACTAGCTCACGGCAAACCAAAGTCTTGGATCCTTTTAAAGTCTGATGATAAGTTACGAAAGGAGTAAAGCCGATTACAGAGGAGTAAGTTTTGTATATGACAAGTTTTCATATGGCACGTTTTATTTGTCAATATAGCACTTGTGTATGTATTGGTACAACAAATTTTCTTTTACAACTTTTTGGTTCTCTGACTTACAATAGAAGCGCTCAAATTAATTTGCCAAATTTTCTTCGACTTTGTTCAGACTCGGAACAAAATTTGTACTTTGCCTTTGCCAATTTTTTCTATGTCAAGTGCACTTGTTCAAAAGCTAGCATGCTAGCTTTAAAAGTACCTACTTGCCATAGTAATAATTGGCAAGGTTACAGACGAACAAATAAAGGCTAGTCATTAAGTCATATCACTGTTTATCACATATGAAAACTTGTCATTTACACTTGCGATTTTCGCCTCCTGATGTATGTGAACGAGTAGAGAAGAAAAAACTCGTACTAGAAATCGTTCACAAGTGTGAACGGGACTAATAGAAAACCTGTTCCTCTGTAACCGTCTGTACAGCATTGCCTATGTTTCACTTGTTTTCTCATGCCAATTAAAAAGGTAGTACTGGCTAGTAGATAAATATATAAACAAGAAATTCATTTTGAGAGGTACGCCAAGCGATTTTGGCTTGTGGTTTAAAATTGCCTCTCAATGCTCTCAAACAATATCATTAACAATAATATCTTGCATTTAAAACACCCACTTCATTATCAAATATTTCCGCATCCTGACCCCCTGCGGGGACATGATTGGGCCAGTGGTGGTAAAAAGAAACTTTGAAACTTTGCATAGCTATGCAATATCCCACATTTGCCTAATATCAGAAAACCTCTGCACGCATGGCACTACAATACCTATGGCTAGAAATTTAAAATCGAACTAGAAAATGGAATAACATTGTGTTCCAGTGTAGGTATACTATTCTCAGTCAATAAGCTGTCGTGGTTTATCAGTCTGAACTACTTGAAAAAGTCAAAAAGATATCTCAAACTTGATGATCCAGTGTATATATAAGTAGTATTCTATACAATAAGCTTCCGTGGTTTATGTCTGAACTACCTTAAAAAGATATCTCAAACGTGGTGGTCCAGTGTAGATAGTATTTCACAATAACCTACTATAGTTTGTGTCGGAACTAACTGAAAAAGATATTCCAAACGTGGGGATCCAGTGGCCTAATATGGCCATTCTGACGTGAGTTTGTGTCTGAACTACCTAAAAAATATCGTGTAGGTAGTCCCAACTCACTCTTTCTGCCGCTCTCGCCTCCTTTAGCTTCTCCCTACGCAGGCTAATAGGGAGCTTAAATACACGACGACGACGGCCAAAACAAATTCCTTCAAATAAATGATAGTAAAGAAAACTTGTCGTATATTATAATTCGTATGAATTTAATATAGTATAAGAAGGTGAAAACATTGGCTTTATGTTTGGGAAGAGTTCTACTGACCGAATTTTAAGTTACACTTGTTACGGCTTGAAAAGCAGGCGTTGTACATGCAAAAGACGTGAAAATCTGTGATTTGCCGTTGTAAACAGAGCGACGACTACGTCTGAAACTCCCCCGGGACTTTAATAGTTTTTTACTGTAATTATTTATTTCTTTTCATCGACTTATTGCATTGGTTGCCGTCGTCGTCGTGTTGCCGTCCTACATGCTTAAGCTCCCTAATATTATAAACGCAAAGACCTTGGTATTGCTATTTTCACGAGAATATATTGTTGTAAATTATACGGGCACCCGGGCTGGCTCGCCTCCATGTAAACAGCTCCCTACTCGGACCAAAAACCTTGATGTATAACTAATCGTAGTGTTTCCCACAAAAATTAAATCAATTATATTTTACCGCTATTTAAACCTATCCCTTCCGAACATGATGCGTCAGAATTTCTTACGACGGCTTTTTCGTGACCGCATTGTAAAGAACTAAGCCCGGCGGTCTGATTGGGTTAGGGGTCACTTTGTTAAATAATCAATTAATCTTCAGAAACATTAATATAAAAAGAAACAATTAATTATAAACAAGCTTTCGTCGGTAGGGACGCAACTACCTGAAAACTATAAGGAGAATTTCGATGTTTCGAGCGAAGGCCCGACGTTTCGAGCGAATACCTTCGTTATTATTTCTGTCTGGTTTAGTCTTCCTTAAAACTGCCAACCACACGGCTAGCAATCATTTTTCAGCACATTGCGCTCACATTGGTTAAATTTGGTAGCACTACGGTTCGTCGATGTGCCTTTCATTATCGGGAACACCGCAGAACAGGTTTCATTCCTTCAAATGCATGCAGTGTAGCTATCCAGCTCCACATGTGCGCAGACGAATTTCAAAGGAAATCTCTGCAGAGATTCGCCTCAGTTGTGACTTGAGAACTAAGCCGATTGCTTCCACCGGCAGACGGCTATATAGTTTAACTTTACCAAACACTTGAAGTCTTGAACTGTCTGTGCCAGTGACAGACTGCTGCCAGTGTAGGTATAGTGACTAGTGCCAATAATATGACCAAGCTAGCTTTCGCCTTGGACCTTGCATGGTAGGAATGCAACTACCTGAAAATTACATATAAGAAGAATTTCGACGATTCGAGCGAAGGCCCTTCGTAACTCCAGACGAAAGGTCTTCGCTCAAAACGTCGAAATTCTCCTAGTTGCATATTTTCAGGTAGTTGGTTCCCTACTAACGAAACCAAGGCGGATCAAAACATTTTAGGGTAGTAATTTCTTGAAATAACCTTGTTGCCTCATGAGAACAGATAGAGCTATCCAGTACTATGGTGTATACTCATGACTGCATGATGAACTGTAGTTTAGTTTAGGTTCACCGTGAACTGCCCGACCAAAACATTTTGATTTTTGCCTTTTGGGCTGTTCTGTGGAAATGACTTAATTAGTTTAGTCGAGGGTATTCCTTTTTGAATTGAACATTGTTGCTGCTCAGACAGCTCAGTTGGTACTATATGCATGCTTTGCCTCTTTTAATCTTTTGAGCAACCTTTCGGCATCATTCATCTATCAGGCTATTGGCATCTAATCAGCGATAACATTAAGATCATTATAAAACAATACTGTTTCGGCAAGAGCACAGTGAATGAAAGTGCACAAAAAAGTCATTACATGTAAAAAACCTATTAGACTTTTAATGACCGCCCGCAATTCATAAAAATAAGCGGGTTCTCCGAGACAGGAGTTCCTTCCTTGCGGGTCAGAAACACTTTTAATGAAGATTTTCAAACTATTATGCCCCGGCCTGTACAGACGGGCAATTTTTCCTTGACAAGGTTTATTCGCTTGTGTGTACGGCAAAAAATTGTCACTCAGCGTTTTCTTGGACCTTGCCAAGGAACCTTGTTCCAAAGCATAGTCCGGCTTTCAAGACATGGTCTGGAAACTCAGTAAACTTCAAAGCGGTTATAATGAGCTGGGATTTTATGTTGAACTGTACGTAGTTGCTATTGGATGATTCGTTCATTATACTAGCTGAATTAGTGAAATACAATGTGCTCATTGACCGTGCACCGTGTACAAAACTGCATCACTGTAAACGCGAACTGAAAAAGAGAGAACAAAGACTTTAGCGGAGTTTCCAAACCATGTTTTGAAAGACTATGTCCAAAGCTAGTCATGCCAGCCGTCTGGACAAGGAAAATTTGTTCGTGTGTACGACCGACAAGGGAAACATGACAAGTGTAAAAGAAATACTGCTAAGGTTTTGGCAAATAAAAGGCGGTCTTGACATGACTGATGAGATACAAGATTAACAACATTAGCAACAAACTAACTTGTCACAGTGGCGTAACGTTATACAGGGGGTCCCCGGTTCAACATTTTCGAAGGCCCCCCCTAGTAGAAGAAGTCGAGTGCCATATATGCACGAGTTTTCTAGGGGCTCCAGAGCATGCTCACCCGGAAAAGGTTTGAATCTAGAGAGATTTTACAGAATTCTGATGGTCAGAAAACGACATTGTAACATACCAGAGGCCCTGGCCAATGTTTTTGCTCTATACTATAGCCTGAGCCTGGGGCCCCCATTTGGCCCATTGGGGTTGGGGGCCCCCGGGTTCTCCCGGTCCGAGCCCATAGTAGTTACGCCGCTGACTTGTCAAGGAAACTGAAAAAACTTGTTGACCACACAAGGAAACTTGCCGTTAAAAGGAGAATTTGCTCGTCTGCATGCACAGGGCTTTAGAGTCAAACTGGAATTATGCCACTGACACTGAGGTAAAATTATAACAAACTGACCAGACAATGCAATATCACAGGTAATCGTATCCCGGTTGCAAAGGTGAATTGAAGCACATGCATTGTCACTCCATATCATTGTTCAACCAACACCTGCAAACCTTATTCGAGTGGCAATGTTTGGACATACCATAACTAAAAAAATCTCGAAATCTGTTCCAATCAATTTCCCAGAAAAATCCTCATAGTCTTTCCCAAAATTTCAAAAAGCGCTATACGGAAATTAAATCTATCATTCAAATATTTCTCGCTGATACAGTGATATAGAAGGTTTGACCTCTCAGAAAATTGACTTTTCTCTAATCTAAGAATCGCGGTGTCGATTGATGTATTATAGAGAATTAATCCCCGGAAACAATCGAAAAATCCAATAATAATTAATAAGAAAGAATTTGAACTATATATAAAATCCGACCCGTTGCTTTTAGATATTGGTAA